GGGGGCCTTAACCTTAGGGTTTAGGGTTTGGGGTTCATGGGGGCCTTAGTCTTAGGGTTTAGGGGTTAAGGGTTTCAGGGTTTCTGGGGGCCTTAACCTTAGGGTTTAGGGTTTGGGGTTCATGGGGTTGGGGCTTTCAGGCTTTGGGGGTTAGAGGTTTAGGGTTTCTAGTGTTTCGGGGTTAGGGCTTTGGGTGTTTTTGTGGGGTTGAGGTTTGATGGGGTTTCGGGGTCATAGGGTTTAGGTTTGGGGGTGGTTTTGGGGGCTTGATAGGACTAAGGGTTTAGGTCTAGGGTTTACATGTGTAGGGCATTCGCGGAGTCCTTGAAAGCCTTCGGGGGAAAGGTATAGGAGGGGCCGGGTCGGATCATTCGTGAAGTGTTTCTTTAGAGGGCAGAAGTGCATCAAGGAATCCTTGGGAATATTGTGGGTGGTTGGTTCAGGAGTGTGCGACAAAGGTCCCAGCGGAGTGTAAGTCAGACAATGATCAACAAACCCACTTCCTCCAGAGGGTTTAGTGGTCCTCACATATACGAAAGAAGCCATGCGTTTCTACTATCAACATAAACCCTAAACCGTAAACCCTTATTATTGCTTAGAGTTCCTTGCTATAGTTACAGTGTAAAGGAGCCCAGAAACTCTATTCCAAGTGTTCAGGCCGCTAAATTGGGCCCCGTGGAGGGTTTCATGTTCGCCAGGGCTTTACACTGGGCTTCAGATATGGGTTTAGGGTTTAAAAGTTTAGGGTTTGGGATCTTAGGGTTTTAGGGTTTAGGGTTTAGGATCTAAGGGTTTTAGGGTTTATAGCACTTCAAACCTGTTACAACATCGTTTTCGAACTCAAGGACTTGCTTGGTGGGCTTCGATTTCAGACGTTAGTGGGCCAAGCGTATCAGAGGAGTTCATGTCTCAGTTTCCGGGGCTCTGAGATTGGAAGTTCAGGCTTGCAGATTCAGTTGTTGCTTAAAGTTAGGGTTGAGGGTTCTAGAGGTTTAGGGTTCAGAGGCTACGGTTCAAGATTTCGGGTTGGGGGTTCGTGGCCTTGCAGACATCGGTCCCTGGAGGCTTTAAACCTCAGACAATATATATATATATATATATATATACATACACACATACACATACATATGGAAGCCTCAATCATTAGTTTAGTGCTTCTCCTGTGGTTTCGTCATTGCATTCGTCGCAGACCCCCTTCTTGTTATGATTAAGACCGTTATAGTAGCCCCAGCTCTGCAAAAAACCGTAGGCCCTGCCGATAGCCTCGAGATGAAGAGAAAGTCAGGCCTGCTTGGTCCGTCAACTGGCGCTTCCTTCCGGAGGTCGGAAAAATACCCTTAGATAGCCAATAGGAGAACTTTAAACTTTTCGGCTCTATCTATTAGGTCTACCCTAAAAAGTTTGAACTTTTTTGGGCCTGGTTGTTGAAGAAGAGAGTACCGATGTTGATTATAGTATGCTATACCCCGCAACGTTGTTCAAATAGAAGATTCAGGCCACTATTATGGGGCATCGGGATTTGTTTTTTGGTGTTAAACAGGGTCTTGTGCGGGCTAATAGGGATCCTCCAGGGTCGCGGGGTTGGCGATGATGATGATGATGATGGCTTAGAGGATTGCGTTTAGGGATGATGATGATGGTCGTGATTGTGATGCCACTGGTTGTCGCTATTGATGTGTTTGGTGATGAGGATGACGACGGCGATGGTGACAATCAACTAGAATAAGGGGAGCGTCTTGGAAGTTCGGGTCTCCCACACCGACTCCCTGCCGGCCGGAGTGTGGCTCACAGACGGGCAGGAGGATGCGGAGCCTGTCCCAGAGAGCCCAATTTTAGGGTTTAGAGGTTTAGGGGTTTAGGGTTTAGGGTTTAGGGTTGAATCAAGGAATATGGCTGAAATTATAGGGCGCTGCATCTTAAGATGTATGCTAGATTCCTTATTTAAGGGGTATTGGGCTCTCTGGGTAAGGGTTTGGGGCATGTATGAACCCATACTAAAACAGCCGGCGGAGCTCAGCGGACTCTGAAGCCGAACGCCTCACAACTAAGTCTAGGAATTTTTGCAGGTGGGTAGTTACCGTTATAGGAGCCTTATAGAAGGTCTATATACCTTATAGAAGCCTTATAGAGCCCTATATACCCTAAACTCCCCACCTGTAGTTTCCTTTAACTGGGGCCTAAATCGTAAAGTTAACAGTCAGGTTCCAACTCTGCTCTGAAACACCCTGAAACTAAGTAGGGTTTAAGGTTTAGGGTTTAGGTTTGTTTCTCCAATGTCGGGCGTGGGAGAGGAGGACTTGAGCGGAAGGCTCCAGGAACCTGGCACCCAGCCATCTCGCGCAAGAGCACCTCGGACGTTGTCGTACTGGTACTGTTGTTTCAGAACATTAGATTTTCGTGACCCCCATGCAAATCTGTTGTGGTGGCTGTCATGTCTTGTACAGGACCCGTGGCAGAGTGGCTTCTCTGATTACTTTTCGTTTGTTATTAGTTGCCTGTTGCTTCCGGATACGAATGGCTCACCGTACGGCTGAAGGGAATTAACCCTTACTGTTTCGGGTATAAATACTCATTTGTGTTTGTGTATTGGTTAAAGTTTAAGCACATTTAAGAGTATGTGTCTGCGCATGTGAAATGTGTATGTGTCTGTATGCATGTTTTATGTGCTCCTGTGTGTATATTATACATATATATATATATATATGCACGTAGTGAGCTTCGCAGCTGATTGGGCGTGAAGAGCCCCTGACTATCCCCCCCGCCCCCCCCCCCCACCCCCTAAGCCTGGCATAAGCCAAGGTGCGATGCAGCTGCCGTGGAAAACAGCTTTGTCTGGCCATCGGGGGAAGCGTCGCTGTTCTTGGGGCCTTCTTGGCCGTCTTTCTGTCCCTGTCGTCTTCGAAGACTCCTCTTCCTGACTGTCCACCGCCGGAAACTGGCAGGGTCAGCATCGAACTGCACCCGGTAGCGCCAAGAGAAGGCATGGATCCAGATCGGCAGGATCAGCGCTGCTCGGACAAGCAGCCGAGCCTCTTCAGCAAGATCCTTCTGGACGTCACACGCATCTGCAACACGTCGCACCCGGCAGATGAGAAGGATTGCAGCATCGTGTATCACACTGCATACATGTACCTTGGTGCGTTCGCTCAGGGCTTACATAGGGTTTTGGGGCCCACTATACTATATGTTTAAAAAGAACCCCCAAAAAATAGTATAATTAGGTAATTATTCAGGCCCCTAAATAAACCCTAAACCTAAACCCTATAAATTTCAGCAAGATGTTTCTGCGGTATTGCCCTGCTGTTCATAGCTAGCGCTGAGTCCCTGGAGTCGACGTAACGTTCCCCCTAGCCCTAACCCTAAAGCTGGTGTTTTGAACCCATGGCTTTAGGGTTTAGGGTTCAGGGTTTAGGGTTTAGGGTTTAGGGTTTAGGGTTTAGGGTTTAGGGTTTAGGGTTTAGGGTGGGGGTTCAAAACACCAAAGGAGCCAAATCCCTGCGAGCCCGATGACCCTGAAGCCGCAGCCTAAAGCCTCAGGTACTTGGATGCGGGACATGAGATCGATGTGACACTGAATGTCAGCGACCAGAAGCCAGGGACGGGACGCTGGGACTTTTTTCAAGTAACGGCCATCCTTCATCAGAATGGCTGCAATGCACAATTGCAGCTGAGCAAGCACGAGGCTGCGGATTGCTTAGAGGGCACCGCATCTCATCCCAATTTCGAGGCGGGGGGGTCTTTGGATTTGTAGGTTTGCTCTATTCGGTTGCATAAGGTTGCCAATTACATGGCTACATCTTCGAGGTTACCTTCAACACCCTCAAACTTACGCCCTCAATCCGAGATCTGAATCCAGCTCAATCCCTAAACCCTAAACTCCTAAATCCAAAACCCTAAACCCCAAAACCCCTAAACCCTAAACCCTAAAACCTAAAATCCTAAACCCCTAAACCCCTAAACCCTAAACCCCTAAACCCCTAAACCCTAAACCCTAAACCCAACTAAGTGGAGCGACCCGAAGGTCAGCGTCGACCCGTTGGGTCGCCAACCGGCGCACGCCACGACGCAGCTGACCTGCATCAGCCGCTTAGTTCCCGAATAGCCAACTTTTTAAACTTTTTGGGGTTCTTATAACTTTGTAGGGATTTGGGTTTAGGGTTTAGGGTTTAGGTTCTTATGATTTTGTAGTAATCTGAAAGTTTAACAGTCTTATTGGGGAAGTAAGGCCGGCAGAGGGCCGCTGATGCACCGACAGGGCGGTCTGTGCGCATTGCGGACTCCTATAAGAGTGTACAGCCTGGTTGCAGGATAGGAAGCCGCGGGGAAGTTTACAAGGCCCTCCGAGACATCTGAGCCGCGATGCTCCAGACCCTGAACCCTACTACAGAGGTCCCATATATATATATATATATGTAT